GAGAGAGAGAGAGAGAGAGAGAGAGAGAGAGAGAGAGAGAGAGAGAGAGAGAGAGAGAGAGAGAGAGAGAGAGAGAGAGAGTCGTAGCGGGCGCACAGATTCCGGATTCGACACACATAAATTCCATAGCAAGAATCAGTCCACGACTCGACGAGAATAATGTGGTCGTCACCCTGGAGGTTCAACCTCCTGATGGGTAGTTGAAGGTCCAATGAAACAGTATCGTGCAGCCGCACCTTTTGGGTGGAGTTGTGTATAGCGAACATGACAACACACTGCTGCCTGGGTAGGTGTGTAGGGGTGGTTTTCTGGCTGTGATGACCTAGTTGGTTGGACTTACTGCCATTCTTGTCAGGGGTTTGGACCAACAGTCTGCTAGGATTGCAGGGTTGCTATGAGCAAACATTGACCTTGACCACTTTGCACATGCGTACCGCTAACTTTGGACAATGTGGCGAGTCCTTATCCATCAGTCTGATGCTTCCTGGGTAGACCGACAGAGTTCAGCCTCCCGATGAACAGACGAAACTTCGACGAAAATGTCTGGCACCGTCGTGCTTGTCCTTTTTGGTGGAGTTGTGTATAGCAAACATGATAACACACAGTGGCACCTGCCTGTGCTATCGCTGACGTGTCGTCTTCCACACCCCCTCTTCGCTCATGCCGCAAATGTGATGCTGGACTTCCTCTGGTTGCATCTGTGATGGAACTTCTTTTCATTCTTGCTAAGTGATGAATGGATGTAACAGCATGAGGTGGAAAACAGGACTGCCACATGGACCACCGTATGTACTGGCTTAGTACCCATGGAACGAGCAGTGGCTGATAATATTTTGTAATAGCTGAACATTCTTCTTCTTCTTCTTCTTCTTCTTCTTCTTCTTCTTCTTCTTCTTCTTCTTCTTCTTCTTCTCCTCCTCCTCCTCCTCTTCCTCTTCTTTCTCCTCTTCTCCTCCTCCTCCTCCTCTTCTGGCTCCGCCGTCGTCGCTGCCTTCGCCGTCGTCGTCGCTGCCTTCGCCGCCTTCGTCGCTTTCTTCGCCTTCTTCGCCTCCTCCCCCTCCTCCCTTAGGTCAGAACCCACAGCCACGACCTTCTCTGTCTTTGTCCTCCTTCCATCGTCCCTGGAGCTCTGCCGCTGCCCTGTCCTGCAGCTGTATCTAAGTGCTCGGTAGCAAACTCGTGCTGGGTTATATCCATGGCTATGTGCCTCTGCTTTTATAGGGGGGTCTACAGTACAAGGACTGGATCTTGAACGTGAGAAAAGTGAAAAAAGGCATTAGAACCAATACGCCTCAAACATGGGCCAGAAAAGAACACAAACAGAATGCCGGCAGTAATGAGTTATGATTTTCAAAGAAGTATTTAAAAAGGAAAAAAGAAAAAGAAAATACACAAGCTCAGTCGGTGAGGCACGCAAGTGGCATTCAGAAGGTCGTGGGTTCAATCCCTATTGATCGCCTGGCCACACCTGGTGCCAATCAACTGAGATAGTGGACTTGCTCCCCCTGGTCAGTATTTGGTAAGGTCTTTGGCCATGGCACGTGTGAGTGTTTGTGTGTGTGTGTGTGGAATATGTGTAGTGTATGGCCGAGTGTTGTCCTTAGACACTGCTGTTACTGGATAGGGGTGGGGGAAGTAGATAAGAGGCACAGCTTTTGGCAAAATGATCCGTCTTTGCACTATCTGGCCCTCCCCCGCCCCCCGGTTCCCACCTACCAGCCCCACCCTGCTCCCTGACCACCACCGATTACAACAGGGGGCAACATGCATCCAGTTGATTGTGTGAGGTAGCTTTGCTTGCAGGGTTTCCCTGTATGGGCTTCGGAGTAGTGGTAGATAGATAGTGAAAGAATTTGAGAGTAGAATATAGCTTAGTTTAAAGTAAAACAAAAATTGTAAAATACAAAAGGGCAAACATCGTGCGATGTGCCTTTGTCCTTTTTGGAACATAAAGTCTTTTATTACATGTGGGCCAAGTGCACAAGGAAG